AGACCCTACATTCCGGGTATGTTTAGCACCAAGATCCGGTCCTTGTTGGTCCGGACTCGCCGACTCATACGATTTGATCTCTCTCTAACGCAGTTCCCCGATGTTGATGTTGTTCTACTTGTATAAACTGCACTACAAATTAACATTATGTGCAAAGTTTTACTACGGCTTCATGTTGTATGAACTATGGCCTATCATTTTTGGTACTTAATTCGAAACTGTCACAGACGTCTGGCTGGCGTCGCTTGTTTTGGAAAATTTACGCACAAAAGATTACCTCTAAACCGATTCGATTGCAACATTTAAACGAGGCTGGCAGTGTGAGTGTTGTCGCCGGTAATGTCTGTTATTTATTGGTCGCGGCATAAGCGGCTACTTGTCTCGTCATACACCAAACATTGAACATTGAAATGAGAATAAGGGGTCATTTCTCCCAAAGAAAAATGTTTTACTCATTAAATCAACAGCCCCACCAAAAATATTTTCCACCAGCCGCCACTGCGTTTAGTTTATTTAATGAGGGAGCACATGTTCATTGTGAAAAGTGACCATAGATAGATTACTTCAGTTGAAATTTGGTGCTTATATATTTTTTTTAAAGAAAAAAACCACCTTGAATTTCAGGCATGGCGCGGGGCTCCGTTGGCAGGGCGCAGCGCCCCGCCAAGACAATGGTAGGGGAAACACTGCTTAGCTTGACTTAAATGTATTAAACATATAATTAAGTTATATCAAAATATAAATAACTAATGTCATGCAAACATATTAATATTTGCTTGATTCCAGTGTTGAATTTAGCACAATTGCAAACAAACGTTAAGGGATTTTAAGATTCTGAAGTATTATGCTAAAAACTCAATAACTTAGATTATTATTTATAGTTTTGCTGAATAGTTTCATGTCCGCTTACCTTAGAAACGTAAAATGCCACGGCAGTGTGCAGATGGGGAGCATGTTAGCTTAGCTTGGTAGCTTCAGCTAGCTCTGGAACTTTCAGCTCGGTGGCAGGAGGTCCCGCCTCGGCTCCGCCTCCTGAGACTGCCAAGGCACACGAGGGGATAGGCCATCTTAGCGGAGTTACACCACCCGTTAAATGTCCCCACAAACCTTGCTGCCGACCCCCCTCCCCCACACCACCCCCCCCCCACCCCCCCCCAACCCCCCCCCCCCCCCCGCCCCCCCGCCCCCCACCCCCCCCACCCCCCCCCCCCACCAACCCCCCACCCCCCCCACCCCCCCCCCCCCGCCCCCACCCCCCACCCCCCCCGCCCTCCACCCGCCCCCCCCCCCCGCATCCTTAGCAGGAGTTCACCCCCCTGTTAAATTGTCCCGCACCACCGTACACACCTGAGTGGAGGAGATCCCCCCGCCCCAGTTCGAGGGCCTTCTAAAATTTACAACTTCAATTTACGTAGTTAGACCACGTGAAACTCCCCCGTGTGGGGTGCCCGCCCGAACCGCCTTGTGAATGTTTACACGCCATCCTAAATCCATTCGTTTTTTTTTTTTTCCCCAACGGCCTTGGAATGTTACACCCGGGCTATCCTAAATCCGTTTTGTACAAAAAAACAAAAAAACCGGGAGGCCGGGTGTGTGTCGTGGCCGGGTGGCCCCTTTGAGGGCCATTAAAGGGTACCGTCAGGCAGGACGTCAGTGAACGGGGTACGTAGTCGTCGTCGTCCGGTAAGTGAAACTAAACTGGGGGCAATACTTTACAGTAGTTAAAGTGTTTTTACTATTACGAGTGTTTTGCGAATATAACGTGTAAAATAGATTGGTAGAGGCAAGATTGAAAGTTATATAAAATTCCTCGAGAGAGAGAGTAGAACACGCCCCACCACCGGGAGTGTCTGTGCGACGTAGAGAGAGCGAGTGTCTGTACGACGTCGCGCAGTATCTGACCATATATTTACCTGCATCCAGGCAAATATATTGTCAGGGATCCTAAAAGACGTCTCAACGGCTCTTCGGAATCATCGCCTCAGCCGGTGATTGCCGAGCTGTCACTGCAGTCTCAAGTTAGGGCGGATAGAGGTCGCACGAGG